ACTTGTTCCCTCTATTGCGTCTGTTCTAGCTATGAAAAAGAAAAGGAAAACACAATGCTTTCAGCATAGTCTGGCCTGTTTGGGTATTGGCAGCCAGCAGAAACATTTGGTATTGTTCTGAATTTCAGCTCATGCGGAAGGGGATTCGGAGCTGCATGGCCGCTCAGTCAGAAAACTGATTGGCTGCGACAATCAAACTGTGTGATAATTGAAAATAGGGAGTGGAAGATTTTTCTCTCTTTCCTTTTGCCTGGGCTAATCACTGTTTTGGGAGCTGAACTGGCCTAGAAACTCCAACAGAAAAAAAACTCCCCCTCCCTTCATGCAGCTTTCTCACATCCCCTCTCTCCTTTGCTCCCTCTGTCCGTCTCCCTTTCAGTGACAGCTCCTGGTGGGTTCTTTTTTTTTCTTTTCCTGCTCCATTCCTTCCCTCACATCCCGTCTTTTGGGTCCCTGGCATTTATTTTTCCTCTTGGGGACTTTATTTATGCCTGATGGGCTTTTTGAAACGTAACTTCACAGTAAACTCTTTCTTCTTTGGCTCCTTCCTATTTCCAACCCAGCAAGTCTCCAAACGATTAACCGCCTCTGCTCCGTCACCCTGGACCCTCGTCAGATGAGCGCTTTGCTTCAGAGGACTACCTCCTTTTCCACTAACTGGTGCTGTCGGTGGAAGTCCTGCTCGTCAAAGCGCATGTTTTTATCCTTGACTGGGTTTGTACTCTGCGGAGCATTTGTTAGCTCTGAAGCTCGGTCATGGGCTTTGATGGGTGTCTGCTTCTTGAAACAGCAGCCACCGGTCTGTGGACTCTGCAGCTATCAGCAGTCACAGTCCAGGGCTGTTCATCCTGAGGACAACATGGAATCCGGATATTCAAATCAGCCAGGAGTGAATTCATAAGCGTGTCTGCTGCTTTGCTGTCATGTTGAGTCCTTCCTCTGTGACTTTGAATCAAGTGGGCTTTTTTTTTTTTTAGGAAGAATGACCTTAGTGATGGCTTGATGACGTTTTTTGCCAGGGCCATGCTTCTCTCCTCGTAGTTTTAGTCTCCTGAGAGACACACACACACACAGATAAAAAGACCTAATTTGCTGCATGTATGCGTGTCCTCACCATGGAGGTCATCCTCAACCTGGTAACCTCTGAAACCTGTCCACCTCCTACCCCCACCACTGTAAGTCCTCACCTTTATGATTTTTTTTGTGTTCTTACTGTTATTATTTGTGGGGATTTTCTTTTGACAATTTAAAGTCTGACTCTTGGTTAAAGGTTTTAAAGCAAGATGATAGAAACAAAGTCTCTCCATTTGATAAGGGAAAAGTATTTTTGCAAACATTAAACCTAAGAGAAGCCAGATGCTTTTGCTCTTAGTTGCTGATAGATCGATATATCCCCCTCTTACACGTGACCATGAGGGGCTTTTCTCACACTCCATGAATGTGAACACACAACCAGGAATTGCTTATGAATTCATGTCAACTTGCACTAGTGCAACTTTACGTTTTGTGTTCAGTAGACTGCCCCTTGTCCAGCTCCACATGTACTTATGTAATTTTCCATTTCTGGTGAATGGGGTTCATTGTTGCCACACTGGATCCCCTTAAAGGAAACGGAAAGCGGATTCTGTATCATTTTCAGCTCAAGTGGGTGGGAACTGAAACCATGAGAAAATGACAAGGGATAGCAGAAAATAGACTTGGGATTAGCTGTGGTGCGGGCTCGCTACATTCTGTAATCTTTAGATAACCAAATAAGGATAAATAGAGGAGTCCAGCCACACACTGGGGTTACATATGCTTAACTGCAATCCTACAAAACATCACAACTGAGGAACACACTTTATATCTTGATTTATTTATTTTTTTATATTTAATACCATATATTGAATCAGTTTGTGGTGGAATTTATGGAAACGGATATATTTTCTTTCGCTGTGTAAGTGTGGGAAGGGGTCTGATGCAATTTTTGTGGTAAACCCAAATATCTAGTTTGTTATAAACATCCAATGAACATCCCTCATGAATTAGACTTAGCTAACCAACAACAATTACTAGAACTGTCTGACATGCCACGACAAAGCTGTTGCGTACCTTTTCCGTTCTTCAGAGATTGCTGTAAGAGGAGAGGTGGGGATCTGTGCAGATTTCCCAGAAAGGAACTTGATGTTACAGTATCATCATAGTTCCACTCAAGCATCGTGTCACATGAAACCACGACTGCACTGGAAACACAAGCTGGTCTCACAACTCTCCTGAGAAAAGCAGCACATAACATGCAACATACTGGACTGTGTGCATTCTCACCAACAGTAAAACCTCAACTTTGGCGGCAGAAAACAAAGAAAGACTAGTGGAGATAGCTCAGATGTTCCAGACAGTAATGTTTTCATTCAAAACAGTCACAGCAAAGCTCAGAGCTCAGGTTTGATTTTCATATTTATGTTAAATGTTCAGTTTAAGACTGTTATGCAAGTTTTTAGTCTAAAACACAACAGATGCTAAGCCAATATTTTGAGTTGAATCTGTAAGCAGATTTTCTTTCTTAAAGAAAAAATATGTTATTCCATATTTTAACTGCAAGATTACGTAATCTGTGGAAACAGGATTTCAATTCCACTTCCACTGACCTTATAAGGGAGCTGATTTCATCAGTGCACAGTGACAGTAACTTTACACAGTGTCCATCAGAACACCTTGATGGTGATGAAACCTTACTCACCTGACCTGTTTGGGAATAGAAATAACCATGTTGATTCTGATGGTAAGGGGTAGAGAGAAAGGGGAAGTGAAACTGTTTTTATATGCAAAGAGTTAGGAAAGGGTCTTATGACTGCATGAGTCCATTCTCTGCTCTATGACCTACATGAAAAATGACTACTTTGGGGAACATGCATGTTCTGTGTAGAGTGAGAGACCGAGATGGTTCTGCAAAAGATGTTTTCTCTAAGTCGACTTTGTGTGCTGTGTTCCCAGTGACCCTGGGAATGCCTATCTATGGAAAGTGTTTGGGTCCCGCTGCTCTGTTTCCAGGCCTCAGTTGGTTCCAAAGTAAGCAAGTTGCCCTTGAATGGGTCTAACCAGCTTTACTTGGATCAGGCGTTGTTACACAAGCAGGCAGACCCAATTTAGAGCCACAAGTCAAATGAGAAAAATCCTCTCTCAAAGAGTGTGTGTTTGTGTAAATACCTGCAGGACAGGGCTAGGTCAGACTCTTTATCTTGTCTTCTCACTGATAGTCTAATCACAGTGGGATCAAGAGGCCCTCTCAGTTATAAAACATGCTTTCTTACCTTGTCTCATTAGGCAACACAGACTCCAGTGATGCAGTTGTTGTCACTTCTTGCTTCAGTGACTCTACACATCGTCTTATTTGTATTTTCTAACGTGCAATTATGTGAGTCCTTTGGCTCATTATTTTTAATTGAATTCACAATTAGTCACAGAGGAGCTCAAACACTTTTAGACGCCACTCATGGCAGAGACAGTTCCAGCTTGTTTGATAACTTGAAGGGTAATATTTGGGCTAGCTATGACTGGTAACATAAAATAAGTTGGCAAAATGTTAGATCATGACTCAGTAGTGGCATGTCACAGAGAACATTAGAGCTGTCTTTAGAGCTTAAAATCAGGATACACCTTTGGAAACCACCTGACTAGCCAGCTGCTTGTGGTTTCTTCGTTTGTGTAACCGAATACCCCCACAGTGGGTGAATTTTTAGATCAATGAAAGGGCGTTGTTTTTGTGCCAGTGTGTACTGGTCACTGGGACTTCTTATCACTATCTAAAACCACTATCTGTCCTACATTATAGCGCTCTCTGGTTCAAAGAGCTCTTTTAGCTTGTCCTTTGTCCCCTTTATCTAAACCAAGATGGCATATACTTGATTATGCTAATAAGAGTCTATAGGACACAACATTAACAGGAAATCTTTTTGATTTAGTCCATGTAATTTTTTACAGATAACTCATCTGTCCCTCATAAGGCTATTAATAATATGTAATTGCTTTAAAAATACCAGTGCAGCTGTGAAACACCTCTTAGTCCTCTCTTGCCGAGCAGGATATTCTAGTTCGCTGATTCATCTGATCAACTTGGTTTCCTGTAAAGAAATTTGGATAAACATTAAAATTACTGAGACTCGTACTAGTATAACCTTTAACTTAAAAGTTGCTTTACAGTTTTCATTTTATTTTTATTTTGAAATCAAGTTTTCTACATGGTTTAAGCGGTTAACAATAGTTTTGCTCGCTTCCTTGAGGATTTGTGTGCGAGTGCGTGTGTATGTGTAGGGTGTAAATGGCTGTCGACTGGTTTTTCTTGCCCTCAAGTATTCCTTACTGGCTGGCACGGGGCCACACAGTGACAGGGTGGTGATAGATTCATGCAGCTCAACCTCTTTTTTGTTACACATCTATTTAATAAGTTCTCTCGTTACCTCAACTATTGACCCCAGTATTGTTGTTTAAGTCGTGTTTGGTTTGTTTGCATTTTAACTCGGCTTTAAATAACTATTTCATGGTACTGCACAAGATGAAAATAGAAGCTTAATTGTATACACAACACATCATTTCGATAAGGCAAGGGGCATAAAAGGTCACAGGAAAGAATTCATCAGTCTACAGAGTCTCTGTGCTACAGAGGAGTTCATTACGGAGTTTAGAAATACAACTTCCAGAGAATTACTTAGAACCGCAGAGTCGTTGGGTATCATTTAAAACCTTTGCATTTGTAGTTAAGGGCATCTCGGTGATTGCCACACAGAGGGGAGTTTTAATTCGTGCTCCCTGTAAGAAGGAAGAGCCGCGGTGACCCGTGCGGCTGACAGGATGATGTCATCCCTCTGGGTGGGTGGGCGGGCATAAAGGGAGGGGGGCGGGCATAAAGGGAGGGGGGCGGGGCTTCGCGTGCCGCTCGGCAGACGGAGTTTCAGGTGAGCTGGAAACTTTTCACAACAAACAGTGGGTTGAAGAGGCAGGAGCGTCCAGTGGATCTCTGACAGACCCGGTGCCGCAGGGCTCCAAGGATCTACTGCTTTAAGCAGAGCGCGAGGACTGATGAGCGTTCACGGCTCAGCTCCACGGTGGGAAAAATGCACTGGGAACAGTTTCTCCGTTTGACGAATGGAAAGGTGAGCGGCGGCACGTTATCAGCACGTCTTGTGTTCAGTTCAAAATCGATTGAGGCAAAATGACAGTGCTCTTAAGAATTGGCCTCGGGGTTGGGATAGTGAATGTAGTCTTCCGGATGCACACCGCTGACTGTTTTGCCTGTCATCAGTTAGTCATCCAGGTGAGGCTCCGGTGTTTGGGGTTTTTCACCGGTTATGGTGAGGAGACGGTGATGATTGTTAGCCGGGTTCAGTGAGTTTCTTTCTTCTTTTTTTTGGCTGTTTATCAGGCATCGTTTGCTTTCTGAAATCGTATTCCGTGCTGCCAAGTTGAGTTGCTTGATTTTCTGTACATGCTTTGTGAGAAGAACATGTTCATCATTCTGTGTGTCATTCCCCTGAGGTGTCAGAGGAAATGAATCACCTCAGCCACCTGTGGTGGGAGATGCTAGGCTTCATATTGGGTATAGCTGATCTGATTTGAGAACAATGCAGCTAAATCTTAGTTAATCTTAGTGCCTTTGATTTATTTTTTTCTGCTTATACTTTCTGACCTACAGGCAAAATCAGGTCAGCGTCTGGAAACGATAAAACAGACAAATACTTTTTAATCTGGGAAACTGTTGTAAACCGAAGTCTAATACCCTTTCAGACATGTCCTATAATGTTGCCCCCTTAATAAAAAGGCCCAGGACAGACTGATTTTCTGGTTTAGCGGGGTAAACCACTGCATTCGCATGCAGACGCATTGATCCTTTTTCATAATGTGCTGACCACAGGCTCTTCTAGTTTCTATTTTCTTAAACATGGAATAAGAAGCTACTGACGTGAACCTTCCTCTTCAGAAAAACTGACCACCAGTTGCCTTTTCATTTGACTCTATTTTTCCCTTTCAACGAGCCACAGAAAAGCAGAAGCCTTCATTTTAACATGTCAGCAAAATGACCAAGACCAACCATATGCAACCAGCACCTGTTTCCCTATCGTCATGACTTTTTTATTTCTCTGCCCTTAAATTCCTCATTTTGTCCCCTCTGTTCATTACTCACCTCTGTGTCTCTGATCTGCTTGCTCCAGATTGACCGGCTGGAGGTGAGCGGACTGGGCCAGACACCCCTGGCCGTCTCATGCGGAGCAGACGGTTCATTCCCCGCAGCAGAAGATGTCACCCCAGACCCTCAGCGCACCAAGCAGGCTATTGCCCAGCTGCAGCAGAAAATCCTCAAGCTCACCGAGCAGATCAAGATCGAGCAGACGGCCAGGGACGACAACGTGGCAGAGTACCTCAAACTGGCCAACAATGCTGACAAACAGCAGAGCACACGCATCAAACAGGTCCTTCTCCTTTCTTTTAGTCTCTCTATTCTTTTTTTAAAATTCTATGCTAACGATGCTATTCTGTTCTCGCTCATAGGTTTTCGAGAAGAAGAACCAGAAGTCAGCACAGACCATCCAGCAGCTGCAAAGGAAGCTGGAGCACTACCACCGGAAGCTCCGGGAAGTGGAGCACAACGGAATCCCACGCCAGCCCAAGGATGTGCTGCGGGACATGCAGCAGGGCCTGAAGGACGTCGGGGCCAAAGTCACCGGCTTCAGCGAAGGCGTGGTGGACAGCGTGAAGGGGGGCCTCTCCAGCTTCTCCCAGGCCACCCACTCGGCGGCGGGGGCCGTGGTGTCCAAACCGCGGGAGATCGCCACGCTCATCCGCAACAAATTCGGCAGCGCCGACAACATCCCCTCGCTCAAAGACTCTCTGGATGATCCGGTGGTGGAAGAGGGCATGACAGTGGCCGGCGCACGCTCTCTGGCCAGCACCGGCCACCACTTCCAGTCCAGTCCCAAGTTCGGCAGCGAAGACGACTGCTCCAGCGCTACGTCAGGGTCAGCGGGGGCCAACAGCACCACGGGGGCCCCGGGGGGTCCCCCGAGTTCCAAGGGCAACACCCTAGAGAGGAGCCAGAGCTCAAGTCTGGACATGCTGCTACAGGAGGTGCAGGAGCTGAGGGAGGGCCAGGCAAGGCTAGAGGAGAGTCTGGACTCTTTGAAGAGTCACTATCAGAGGGACTACACAGTGGTCATGCAGGCGCTGCAGGAGGAACGCTTCAGGTGAGAACATACGAGAAAGGTGTGTATCGTGCATTCCTGAGATACTCTACATGAACATGACGACATTTTAGCCTGGAAATCCCCCAAAAATATGCCAGCCAGTAAGAGCTGCTATTTTTAGAAACACATTGCTGAACACAGTGATCATTAGTATTACGCTAGTGAAATGTCAGTGACAACACTTTCCAAGATTATGCTCTTTTATCAAAGCTTAAACTCAGCAAATAAAAAATAGCTATTGACCTGCAGTTTATTTACATTACCATGCTGGATTTACAAAAGGTCTGCACGCCAGCCTTATTCTTGAAGAATCCTACCATTATCGCTTAGAATTACTTGATTTTTTTTTTGTCTTGGCTGACAGCGGTGTTATGATGAATTTAACTTTGGTGTTGGTGAAAAAGCACTCGACAGATGCCCTCATTGGGCTTTGTAGATCAATTATTCACATTATATCAGCTCCTGTCCAGCCCTGCATTCGGCTTCAGCCCTTAACACACTTAAATTCCTCCAGAATTTTCAGACATGAAAGTACAAATGTTTTCTATAAACTCCCCTTAGTGTTTCAGTGAGTAGCCTTTTGCAACTTACTTCATTCTTGCTAGAACCAAAAACAAATTCAAAAGACTGGTAAATAAAATCTGTTTTCATTTATCACTCAGATGAAACTGAAATAATGAACACATTTACTAGGAACTCAACAGTTATGAGGGAAAAAAGGGGAAACACAGTGGCCGTCTAACAAACTGCCCATCCATGTTGACCGTTCAAATTAAGGAATGTTTTATAGTTGTTTCGATTCCTATACTTGAAAGAATTTAGATTAAAAGAGACTTTAGCAATTTGTCATTCTTCAACAGTTTGTAAAAAAAGTATTTTTATTAACAATTTCCTTTTAATAATCCCAGTCTGTGTGTGTCTCTGTGTGCAAACTGGAATAGTTCAAACGGTTTGACATCCTTTTTCTGTCATGGATTGAAATAATTCATATTTGAAGATCTAGAAAAAGTGGGAAAATTGTGTCTTGTGTGTTGCAATCGCTGTATGCTGTTTTTACCCAATGACTAATTTTCTCAGAACAGAGGAGATGACCGCACACAGGTGCCGTCACCTGTCTATTTTTGACCTGTGCTGTCCAGCCAATTGTATGTGCCACCCAAAATAGGCAGCATTGTCGATCCCTCTCCTCCTGCTGAGCTCGCACCATTTGCTCTGAGCACTCACTCTCTCAGTGATTGGTCCGTTGGATCAGCAGATGATTAAGCACATCCTTATCTTGTCAGGGCCCGTCACCAGTCCAGTCAAGTGCCATGTGGTCAGATGCCTTTAGGGTACATCTCTGCTAATTCCTATCTGTGCTTCTTTGTCTAAGCTTATTACGCCACGGGCCCTCACGTGTGTTTTCTTTCCCCGTGTGTTCAGGTGTGAACGTCTGGAGGAACAGCTGAATGACCTGACAGAACTTCACCAGAATGAGATCCTCAACCTCAAACAGGAGCTTGCCAGCATGGAGGAGAAGATTGCCTACCAGTCCTATGAGAGAGCAAGAGACATCCAGGTTGGTTTTTCAGGCCAACTTTCACAAGCTCACCACTGAGATGCAGAAAAAGCGCCTTTTGTTTTCCTGCAAGTGATTAAAACCAGGTTCACTTCAGTTTTTCCCAATCAGAAAAGAAAAACAGCTAATTTACAAAGGGGCTGGAAATCATCCAATTTACACATTTAGGGATTAAAAGAAATAAGAGCTTATGCTAAAAGCATAAATGGTTTGTCTTTCAAGTCAAGATGGGGTTTTTTTCAGAACTTCTCTTTTTATTTAGGCCATTTTTTTTGCAGTGAACGTGAAAACGTTATTAATGATTGCTCCAACCTTTTATCTCACCTGCAAAGACTCCAGAAGCGCCTGAGGAATTTAGAGTCACTCTGCTGATAAGAGTGTTAAATGCCATTTCAATATGAGCTGATTTCCAGTGCTTTCCATTTTCCCATTTCATTATGTCCTGTCCGCTTCATTTCATCCTGCTCTGACTTTCACACCAAACCTTCAGAGCTGCGACTTCCCTGTCACATTTGTGGGGGTGGCTGTGTCAGCGGCTTCCTGTCTTAGGCCTTAGTGAGTTGATTCAGGCTGCTCAGAGTTGACGTCATCGTGCCAGACTCAGGTTAAACTGAGGTGGGCACACGCCCTCCGACAGTCAAAGGCGTTATCTCACTGTGCATGTTGACTGTGTAAACAGGAAGATCAGTCCAAGGAGCCCTGTTGGTCCGTCAGCTCGTTTGTTTGTCCTAAACATAAGCCTTTCCTTTGGAAACAGCTCACATTACTCCTGTAAGGGCTCAGGTTTGCACGTGCTTTTTAAGCCCTCACCTTTTTAAGGTGAAATTGCCTCTGGCTGCATTTCTGTGACATGACAGCAGGGGGGGCTAGAGGTCAACACATTGTGTAGTTGTGGTAGAATACACTTCTGAGGCTGATGTGTGGAGACGATGACTTTGCCAATCTTTCTTTTCCTTTTGGACTTCCACAGGAGGCGTTGGAGGCGTGTCAGACCAGGATCTCTAAGATGGAGCTCCAGCAGCAGCAGCAGCAGGTGGTGCAGTTGGAGGGGCTGGAGAACGCCACGGCCCGAACACTCCTGGGAAAACTTATCAACGTGCTGCTGGCCCTCATGGCTGTCCTTCTGGTGTTTGTCTCCACCGTGGCCAACTGCGTGGTCCCCCTGATGAAGACGCGCTCGCGCTCCCTGTCCACCCTCCTCTTCATCCTCCTGCTGGCCTTTCTGTGGCGAAACTGGGACGCTCTCTCGGGGTACACACACCGCGCCCTGCAGCCTCCGGGCTGAAACGAGGGCCGGCAGCACACGTTGCTTTGGTGACGGCCATCAGACTGTTGCTGCAGTCGTGCAGGAGGTTTAAGGAACGCCAGTGCGTTGATATGGCTGTGCAGCCGTGCACACTGAGCACGCTGGGACACGGCCTGGAATCCAGATAGGGAGGAAGAAACGGAGTAAAACTGAGAACACTCACATTTACGAAGGAAAGGACTGTTTACATTTTTTAATGATCCAATGTCTTGTCATCCCTCACTGGATGCAGCATTGTACCGTTTTTATTTTTTTAGTTTAATCAATTATAATGTTATTTCTAATAATATTATTTTATTTCAATGTTATTTTATTCAGTACCATGTAGCATTATGCTCCTCTCACTAGACATGAAGGGAGTTTAGTCAGGAAATTGGGCTGGTGGGTCACCCTCAGAGGTCCAGTCTTATTGTAGAGACACACAAATGTGAGAATGTGGTTGATCGCCTTTAGGAGGAGAGAGCTCTTGCCTCTCTGTGATTGATAGATTTGAACCATGGCTGAAAACCTTCCTGGGAGTTGCTCCTTCCTTGCTGTGATGAATAGAACATGTTAACTACAAACATACTTCTATAGCAGTTCAGATAGTAAACCCTCCCTCTTGCTTTTGTTTATTTCCTTTTTTGAGGTAAAATAAGGAAAAAAAAGTTGATATGGGGAGAGTATGAATGACTTGTGAAGACTTGAAAGAGGAAAGCTTTGACCTGCTGCTTACCATGAAAGAATAAAACATCTGTTTTTTGTCAAACATCTGCCAAATTTGAAACATGTATACAGTGCTGCATATGGTCATTAAGTAAATTACATACAAACCATTTAGCTTTTAAAAGCAAGAACTAAGTGCTGTTCTCCAAGTAAAATCAATTTCCCAGGATAATTTGCCCCCGCCCGCCATGTATGATGTGCTCGGTCAGGGAAACGAGACCACTGGTGCTCATTCAGCTCTATCACAGCTGGATCAGGAATGATGCTGCTTCATATCTATAGTGCAAGTCGTCTCCACTGCCATGCAGATGAACACTGCCTGTCTGTGATACTGTACTAACACTCTCCCTGCACATTAGTTCTTGGGTTTACCCTTTCCTCTCTATGCTCTGAAGTTGTAAACAAGTGCCAAACCGTAGTGAAACTGGGGATCTCTGAGCAAACCAGTGTGACAGATAGAAGTCACAGCTCAGCGGGTCTGGCTTAATGAATGTCTTACCGGGACGTCAAGGATGTACCTCTTTGGGAGATGGAACTGTTTTAAGGGATGAAGCTATTAATAATCTGAAGATGACCTCAACTCCAGAACTTCAGCTGTGTTGTTTCTTTTCACCCAGCCTTGTTGAGGCCAGTGAGCAGGCTTGACACCCGGCTTCTTTTGTGCGTTCATCCGGTTGTCCTCATGTCAAGCACACTGAAGGATGACACGTTGAACAGTCCACCCTGCGTTTCACACCGAGAGGCTGATTTCAGAACAGATAGCTTAATCATTTGAACTGTACAGCTGCACTTTAGCACAGCGCTTGATAACATGGAAATAGGTCGGACTGAGGCTTAAGGAAGCTCTGATAGAAAGATTCGAATGGTTCGTCACTCTCAAGGCGGGTGCCATTAGCAGGATAAGAAGAGTTGACTCGGCTCAGGATCACCTTCATCTTTGTCTTAGGATATTTCCAACACGAATTTGGGGAAAAAACTTGATTCCCTTCAGGACTACAGTGAAATTGAGATAGAAGTAGATTTATTGATTTTTTTTCCTTTTCTTTAAATCTTTCTCTGTTTTGTCAGGAAGGGTTAAGAAGGCAAGTGGAAAGTGAGCTGACCTTTGACCTTGCATGTATTTTCAGTAACACCTGTGATGTAGGGTTGTGTGCTAAACCACTTCAGTGCCTTCTGATGCCCTTTTCTAATGTGGAATAAATAAAGTGCATTCCCAACTAAGTCGAATGTAACCTGTGTTTCTTATCCCTGATTCTTTTTAGAAGTCCTCCGTTCTGACTGCTATCAAACAGCCACTAGATGGAGGCCTTCTACCTGCAATCCTATCGTCCTCTGCAAGTCTTTCTTGGAGATTAAGAGGTCTAAAAATATTGTAGTGACACTACATGTCAGGAGATTAAAATAAAAATACATAAAATACTAATTCTTAGAATGGCTCACCGGTAAGGTTTGGTTCATAAGAAGGGAGAATTCAAATATCTCCGCTTTATTATGAATAAAACCCAGCGTAAAGCCTCATGCCTGTTAGGCCTCCTGCATGAATCCGCGCGCCCTACGGGTGCAAGAGGTTATTATGTGGCACTTTATGGAGGAGCTCTCCTCCTCTTCAACACCGCCAGATTTGATGCGCGTGGCAGTGCGCCAAGGTAAACACGCGTGGCGCACTTATCTGCCCAGCTGAAAGCTGCAAGTGCTGACCAGAGAGAAGAGAGCGAGTCTGTCCCCAGAGGAGTCCACGGTAAATGGGCACAGGCGATTCCACACGATTTAGCATCAACTTTAATTATTGCATGTATTCAGAGATAACACTTCTCGGGCTCGCCTGCGAGCTGATTTATTCAGTGTCTGACACACTGCTCGTCGTTTCTCAACTAGGAATCATTCATTTCTATTCAGAGATGTGAGAGCATATGCACACTCCATCCAGAGTCAAAAAATGCTAACCATATTCGTGCATTTTTTAGTGGGGGCGCATGTGCTGGGCTTGAATATTTATGACTTGAGAGAAAGCTGTGGTGAATGTCAAAGCCCGGAAAGGTGCGCTTATGTGTCCATCTGGTAGCACTTTCACGCATCTTACCGTGCCGTATGTGCCCAAAACGGAACCCTCCGGATCTGCAGAACTAATCTAAGGGTCGGGGGACCGCAGAGCACAGAAGGTGAGACTGTGACCCGCCATTAACCTCGAGATGAGCGGAACCACAACGCTCGAGTATTGACTTAGAAGTGGTTCATCCTAAACGCGAGACACATGTGCGCCAATTTAAAAACCAGATCGGGGATTTCGTTTCTATTGTGTCTAACTTTAGATGTTGATAACTAGGATGAAACCCATGAACAGAGTAATGATCAATCACAGAGGAGAGAGCGCTCTCTTGAGACACATGTCATAACAGGTAGGCAGGGCCATTTGTCAGAACTAATGAGATGACACCCCTGCTCCCAGGACAGTCAAGTTTTTCTACGTTTGCAATTTATTATTAGCGTTTTCGTTTCTAATCCAATTTGGACTCAAACATCACTTTTAGCAAGTTTCAGTTCTCTTGAGCTTCTATGATAACGCTCGGAAATTACGCACCGTGGAGCTAGCCAAATCTCCAGCTGGATCATGTGTTTTGTAAAGATTTGAGAATATCAGTCTGATATTGTGGCTCTGTGTGTCTCGTGAGAGAGGTCGCTGAGCCGCACAGCGGGCAGAGGGGGACAGAGGCAGAGGAGACAGCCTGAAAAAGGAAGCACGACTCGCTTATCGCGTCATTCTGGGTTTAGGCGTTGAGCAGGAAACAGCCTTTCCTCTTGGATTGTCGCAGTAGGAACAAACACAGAATTTTGTCTTCCCTCAATGCACCCCTCGGCACAGAACACGCGGAAGCCGGTCAGAAGGAAGAATGCCTCCTTCGATGGAGATCGCTGTCCTGCTCCTCGGCGTCCTGGCTCTGGAGACGCGCCGGAGCGCGAGCGCGCTGCTCATCCAACAGGCATTCCCGTCTCCAAACCACACCAATAACTTTGTGGTGGATCCGGTGTCCGGGAAGGTCTACCTGGCCACCGTTAACAGCGTTTACCAGCTGAACGGGACCTTGAGCTTGGAGGTGGAGGAGAGGACGGGGCCGGTGGAGGACAACCTGTTGTGCCACGCGCCACAGCTGCCCCAAGCTCCGTGCGAGCATCCCAAAGCCCTCACCGACAACCACAACAAGCTGCTCAAGCTGGACCGCGAGCAAGGGGTCGTGGTTGTGTGTGGGTCCGTGTACCAGGGCTTCTGCGAGCTGCGGAAAATGGGGAATATTTCCGAGATAGCAGTGGAGTTCCCACCTCAGGGCGGGAAGACTGTTTTCCCCAGCATGCTCAACATCGCTGCCAATCACCCGAACGCGTCCACCGTGGGGCTCATCTTCAAGAGCCACGGGGGAAACACCCGGCTTTTGGTCGGGGCAACATACACAGGGGCTGGAACCCAGTTTTTCCCCAAGAACCACAGCAAGGAGGACTTGCGTTTTGAAAACACACCAGAGATCGCAATCCGCTCCTTGAATATCAAGGACCTGTCCAGACTTTTCACATATGACATTAACCCTTCAGAGGATAACGTGTTTAAAATAAAGCAAGAAGTTAAAACCAAAAACAAACTCAACTTTGTCCACGCCTTCATCCAGAAGACTTATTCCTATATCGCTTTTAACAATGATGCAAAAATGGGCCACAAAGAGAGCCAGCCCAACAGCATCCTTGCCAGAATATGTCTGGATACGGAGAATCTCCGAAAATCCTCCGGACCGGAGAGCAGAAAGCTCACCGAGTCCTACATTCAGATGCCTCTACAGTGCGGGTATAACGGGAACATTTACAACCGGCTGGTGTCTGTTTACCCCGCAGAGATCCATGTTGATCACGGAGCGAGCCCTGAGCCCTACCTGTTTGGGGTGTTTTCTAAGGCGGACAGAAAGTCTGCTCTGTGTGCTTTCAAGTTTGGAGAGATTGAGGAGGAGATCCGACAAGGCCGAAGGAACTGCTCCAACTCTCCCAGCAGTGACGTCCAGGTGCTGGACAGTGTCATCCAGGGCTCCGGAGCAGCCTGCATTCAGAAAGGGAACCTGGTGGTAAGAGACAATTCATCATTTAAAAAAAAAACAAGCAAAAAAAACATACATCTATTTATTTAGTTTAATATTTCCATGAAATATAAAATAGTTGTATTTAAAGAATTCCAGCAACTTCATTAGCATTACTTCTTGGGTGTTTTAATTTGTGAATATTATTGGAAACATGTTGCATGGAGATGGTATAAGCTAAATAGTTTCACTCTGCCCTCTTCCAAAGTATTTCTGAGAACTAAATGTCTACACACTTCCCCTGACTGCTATAATGAGTCCCGTATCGCTTACTTTCCATTTGTGCCTTCAAAAAGACGTTTAGCTCATAACTGAGATAGGGGATCTCATATTAGAGAGAAAAGGTCACTGGATGGGAGCTCCGGAGAAACATTCAGCAACTCTCTGTTGTACCAAATATGAAGATGAGAGAAGGGTTAATAGTTTACTATGTTTTTCAGTAGCCATCCAACAGTTTTTTGACTTTATGACTCAACTACAACTTTGACACAAAAATTGAGGACAAATGACTGCTTTGTTACAAGCACATGGTCAGATATTATCATGTATTTTCCACTCGCATACCAAACAGAATACATGCCCTTAAGGAGACTTTAACATTGCTCGGGATATTTTTCTCCTCCCTATGCATGCTAGCAGATAATGAGGGCAATCGGGGCTTCGTATGTTCAGTGAAGAGCCATCTTTTTATTGTCGTGGTTCTGACAGAGGGAGTCAGTGGTCAAAGGTCTCTGCCCCCCGAACACAGTGCCATCCGTTGAGAGAGCTGCCCTCTTTGCTGGCTCTGTCATGATGTCTGTGGCCCCAGGGCTGCTCCTCCCATGACTAGATTTCTGAATGCCATCTCAATTGGACCCACAGGCCTCTCTAATACAAACTCTCAGTTCAAAGTGATTTAGAGCTGTTTTTTTTTCTTTCTCCTGATGTCATATAACCTACTTACTGTACCATTCACAGAACAACATTAGTCTCTTTAGTTTTGCCTTTAGTGACGGTGGACACGTGATCCTTTTTTTTTGTAGTTGACAGTTTGAAGGCCAGCGCTGAGGGAAAGTCAGACGCAATTTAAGATAAGACAGAGAAGACTGCGAGCAGAGGGGCCCGTGGGAAACAACTCCACAAATATCCACTGTGCTTAATTCTTACAACTTTTTTTTTTTTTCCTGTACGAGCTCTAAAATATTCAGAGAATTCCCAATAGACTCTGGCGCTCATCCAAGCGTGGCACTAATGTTTTATCACTGCTCGCAGAAGATTTGACAAAAGCAAAGTCTTATTGGTGTTGAAGACCCTTGTAAGCCCTTTTCAAGTATTCACTGACATGTCTAAGACGTAATTTAGAAGAATGAGCAGCGCCAGAGTGGTCGCTGCCATCACATCACACTTGTCTTGCATGACACATTCATCACATGGTGCGTCTTTTGTGCTTTGCCCTGGCTTGTCTTCTAATCTGTGTGAGAGCTGATGAGGATTGATCTCTCTCCTTTGTCTGTGTTCCAGTTGCAGCCCGAGCAGCTGGACTGCGGTGCGGCCCACCTGCAGCACCCTCTGGCCCTACGGAGGTCCCTGAGAGCCATTCCCCTCTTTGAATACTCGGGACTCAGTTCAGTGTCAGTGGACAATGTGCACAACCACACTGTGGTTTTTCTGGGAACCAGTAATGGACGACTACGTAAGGTGAGACCATACAGTCATGTTTCGTGGGTGAATGTGCACACTAAATAAGAACCAGTATTTACATGTTGGTTTAACCCCAGGCCATGACGCGGCGTAACAGCCACCACAGACTTATTATTCCTATTTTGATGGAGCGAAGAAGCTTGGGAATACTGGAAAATCAAGAGTTACACATGGCTGCACTAATGCGGCTGCTGAGTCTGTCAATAAACCAAAGCTGGATGTGTGATGACACACTTAGAGCTGCTATTGGACAAGCAGGAATGCCTGCTTTCATCTTGTAGCTTTGTCACCACTTTACCCCCCCACCCCCTTCCTCTTTCCTCAACTCCACCTCATTCATCCGTGGCCCATCCCGGACCTTAAGTAGCTCTAATCAGGTGCTTTAATGTTTCACAGACCTGGGCATTGTCTGAGAGACCAACACAAAGCTTTTTAACAAGGCCCGTTGACGACATGTGACTCAGCCCTGGGACCGGGACTTTTAAACATCTGGAGACAACCCAGCTTGTGAAAACTTTTCTTGTCCAATTAATGGCATTCCCTAATTCTTGTGTCAGCCACATTCCTGGTCACCCCTGGCTGAGCTGCCTGCGAGCGCAGCAGACCGCTTTTCAGCTGTTTGTGGAAACAAAACAGGGTGACTCTTACAGCCCTCTCGCCCCATTGTTTTGTATCAGTCTGGTACCTTTTACAACTTTAAAACGGGGATGCTGTGGTGCTTTTGGGCTAGATAAAAGAGCTCCTTGTTTTCCTTCCCTCTCATGAAGACACTGGTTTGGCCCCGGCCTGGCATACAGTAATTGGTTGTTGGATTGTTAGCTGTACACCAGACGCACCGCAGTGGTCGGGGATGTTGTAAGCAGCGAGTGTAAGTGTGTGTCTGTGTGCCTGATTGCAGGTTTGACTATGTTTTTAGGTGTCTGACTTTGTCCGCGGGCCAAGTGCGAGTGGCTCAATGATTCCAACTGTTTACGCAGATGAGTGCGTACCCTGCGATTATGTGCTATATGTTTCTGTGTGTGTCAACCTTATTATATAGTAAGTGTAGTGTTTTCATGACCTTGGGCAACAACGTGTGTTGGGCTTTTTAGCTTTCATTGTTTGCCTGTGTATCTGTGCGTGTGGTAGCGACTTTGGCTGTGTGTGTGTGCCCTGAGGATAGAGCTGTTACAGAGGTTAATGGTGCTGTTAGTGTGTGTAATGTGATTCTGACTGTGAGTTTGGCTCAGACTAAACACAGGGGAGCAGTGGTTCAGATTAAGTTAGACCTCTTTTACCGTCTTTGAGAGAGCCCTCGGTGAAGTAATTTGTAATTACATGCATTTTTTAATGAAGTCTCTCCCTCCCAATTACAGCTGACTTCCATTTTCTGCGTCTGGCAGCGTACACCTTTATCTCACTCACTTCCGTCCGGCTCTAGCTCCTCCATCTCTCAGTTCAGTACTCACAGACCCCCCCCCCTCTAAACTCCTCTTTATGAAAGACCTCTGATTCAACGTGGGGAAAAAAAACAGACTTTATCTCTTTTGCTTTCTTGTTCTGTCTTTGCAGCCCCACCTTCCTCCACCTTTTATTCTTTTTTGTTTTCCACCCAGGTACACACACACACACACACAACCACAGTCACACACAGATGTACGCAGGAAAGAGGAGCGCACAGCAGCTGAGCACTCCTCGGTTGAATAGGGCCTTTCATCTGCATGAGGACAGACAGAGAATGGAGTCAGAGCGACCTGCCAGTACAGCAGGCGTTTTGTTGGCTGACCGGGTGGCGCTTTGTGCCACAGCTCACCTCAGCACTCCTCCTCTCTGCTCCTATTCCTTTTTCCCATCCAGGTGTGTGAGCCGCTGTTTGCTCTCCCCTCGCAGTGTCGCTCTGCTCATGTGTGTCTAGTCGTTGGAGTCATGGGGTGAAGACAGAGCACAGCCACTTACCGTTACCAATATGTGTGTGTGTGTATAGGTTGGCAGGTGGTGCCATAAAAACCACAGCGATGTTTGGAAGCAGAGATAATGTCTTTCATCACAGGTTTACTAAGCTTCTGTTTGCCCTGGTTTAATATTAACCAGCCTGTTTCACTGGGCTGTGGCGGTTTTGTCTTGTGTGTCTGTGTGCGAGACGGCGTGTTTGTGTGAACAGCATATGGAGAAGTGAAACAAGCCTTACTTGCTACGCATGCCACTCAGTTTTCTAGTTACCCATGATGACTCTGTTAAGGAAAGACCCATAAAATCGGAGAAATAAGACCTTTCGCTGTCTGCGTGACAGGAAGTCTCACTCAGCACAGTTTGTTTTTCCTACAAGGCTGTGTTTGTGTCTGTGTGTGCATACGTGAGAACATATCACCGTTTTTATTATCTTGGGCTTTGGGAAGGCCACTGTAGTTACAAAAAAAAAGAATCCCAGCTCGGCAGACCAAGATTAGGCACAGCTCTCAAACAAACAGCCTCCAAAAATGTGTCTGAGAGGGTGGAACACGGATTGGAAGGAACAAAACTGATTTGCTAAGTCTTGCAACTACTGTTTATATATACACACAAGGGGTTTTTGTTACTCTTTCTTGTTGCTTAAGTCTCCAAATTTGCAGATACTGATACTATATTTCTATTGCAAAGGAATGAAGGGGCTCAGCCGTATTTGGATGTTATTGCAGCACTTCGTGACAAAATCATCACCAACATCTAAACCTCTACTACACCTATCAGAGCGAATTATTAGGGCGGATTTAACAATCAGCAGGGGGCTTCACCACCCAAACTATCCAAAATACATACAGTTCCGCCCTTAAATTCACTAATACATGACATCATTCAACGTCTACGTCCTGTTTGGCCACTGCTATTCTTGCTCTTTATGACCAGGGAGAAAAAAGAAGGTCTGCGCTAAGTTCAAAATAACACATTCCCTCAATAACTTCTACTTTTGTTGCACAGCAGGGGGAAAAAAAACTAAATCTGTCTTTTTTAAGATTTCAGGTACTGTTAAATCTATGACTTTATTTTGGAGCAAAAATGTTTTTATTAGTTTTGTGCCTGCAGATAAATCAGGAGGTCCTAAAAATCTGTTATATTTGAAGGTAAACATCTACGCCTTGAATTCTTCGTAAAAACTTTACAGGATAGAAACAGGAAATAGGTTTCCTTTTGAACTACCCATCCTGTTCCTTCGCTGCAGTGCATTGCGACACATATTTGCTGGATTAGTGAACATTGTTTTTACTTGACTTTTCATGATGCATTGTGGAAAACAATTAGTTAGATAGAGCACATAAAATCTGACCCTACGTTTGGACAGCACTAGCAAATGTCAAACTCAGTGTAGCCCAGTATATTTTGAGTACAAAATAGGAGGCACAGCAGACTGCTGAATCCTCCACAACACAAACTTTAATACACAAAGCATTTCAACATCAGTAGAAGCTGTCTCCCTGCAATGATTCTGATTTAAAAATTTCAGGCGAGAATCCCTAACTAAATCCAGATGTGCCGAGCAGGAGATCAGACCCTGCATTAACTCTTAGCTGCTGGATCAACAGTAAACATGTGCTTACACTCAGCGGCTAATGTTTGAGAATCGGGAGGGAAGTGTGAATATGAAGGAAGCGCTTGTGAAGATGGTGTTTCTTTGTTGAATTAAAGTTTTTTCTCCTACATTTTTCCAAAATGTCTTGTTCACAGCTGACCCTCTTGCCAAACATGACGTCGGCCAGTCAGTGGACGCTGAAGCTTCCGGCCAGCGAGGCAGTTGACCATATCATGACATTCGATCCCAGTGACAGCAACTTCCTTTACGTCATGACGTCTCACCATGTAAGAACACAGCCAAAGGCCATGTCTCACTCACTGAACCTTTGTCCCTCATTTGCTCCTAACAGCTTCATTTGCCTAATACACCGACCGCAAGAAAACATTACACTTAGCACATGACAACAACAGCATTCAGCAGAGCAAAGCCACATTTGTGACCAAGCACAGGACCTGTGTAGTTTTCAGGGCTGAATTTCAAAGGCAGTCAGTTTTGGGGCTGTTAGGCTTCTGACAGCATGTGGCTGTTCCCCCAGCACTTATGTCACACAGCTCAAATGCACCTGATTGTTAACTGACTGCCCTGAGATGAAACCACCATGCTTCCTGCGGTGGAAGCAAAGTTTGACATATTCTTTGATAAGCTCTTTGACAGTTGTTAGACAGTCCCGTTGCATATGCTCACAGGAGGCAACATACAGCAATATTCAGTGCTTTGTGTTACTTACTGTAACTGTGGTAAATATATTTTAAATATGACCAAAAGCATTGCTTTTAAAATGAACTGAGTCTCCCATTTAGTTTGCACTGTCCTCACATCCACCCTTTTATGACAAAACATTTGCTCCTTTTTCAGAGCATTAAAGTAACTAATATGACTGTTTTCAACACACTGTAGTGTACTTCAAGCAGGTTTAGGATGATTAGTACATCTAACAGTTGTATGGGATGGTATAAACATTTGATAATAAAATAAAAATTTCTTTCCATAATAAAACATTTTAGATATTATACCAGCTTACAATGATAACCTGTTGTATGTAAGGCTGCGGGTTTATTTTTTCCTTGTTGAATGTACTCGTTATTTTTGGATTGTTTGATTGTTTGCTAGGAAAGCGTAAATAACAGTTTATCCCTTAGGCCCAGGTGACATCATTAAATTTGTTATGTCTGTCCAGCACTCAAAATCTCAAGATGACCCAATTATTAAGATACCTCAGAAAAAGAAGCAGTTCCTGACATCTGAGAAGCTGAGGCATCAGATGTTTGGTATTTTTGCTTGATAAAATATTGGTTGATTACCAAATGTTGTTGAGTAATTTTCGGTAGATTATTATTATCCATCTTGCGGGCCCGTAGGCGTCTTGGAATGATCACAATAATCTTTCTAATATGCCCTGTACGTGTGTGTGTTTTTTGTGGTTTGGTGCTCAGATGCTGAGAGTGAAAGTGGCTGAATGTGACCAGTGGAGGAGCTGCAGTGACTGTCTGGGAGCGGGCGACGCCCACTGTGGCTGGTGCACGCTGGAGAACAGGTGAGACCCCCATCACTTTCAGCCTCTGTTTCCTTAAATCTCTGACCATTTGAAATAATACTTCTTAGCTTCCTCTCTGCTATGTGTGAAATATAATAAAAATCAGATGTTTATATACTTTGGTGTCCACTCATGCTGTTCAACCTAATCAGAAAGCTATACATGAGTCGTAGTAAATGTTCACTTTCCCAGCTTTCTTTTTTTTTTTTTTAAATCAAGCTGCAGCTGTTTTTAAAAGTGAACAAGTGGACCTAATGGTCATTGTGACACATTGTGTCACAATGAGATTGACAGCATACTAAGATCATTTCTACACTTCACTCTAAGCATGTGATTCAGGCAAACCTCTTTTGAGGCTCTTTTTCTGGTTTCCACCACAGCCACTCTTAATTTCCAAATGTCGCACGACTGATTGAGCCTTGGCAGCAACGTAGTGTGTTTTTGCTCTGGAAGACTGTCGTTGGATAAAAATTGATTTTGCTTTTCGCTGGGCTCCATACTTGGGAGTAACATCATTGTTTGGAGCATTCCCCTGGCTGGCTGGCAGTTTGGGGTGGGTGTGAGCGGCCGGGAGCACCCGGGGAGGAGTGACTTGGCTGGAGTGTGGCTGTGAGCGAACGAGAGTTCGCTGTGATTAATGCGGCGCTGTCAGGACCGGCTCTCTGGCCCTGCGCTGACTGGCTTTTTGGGAGAATATGTGTGGCGTCGGGTTGTGTTTGTTTGTCTGTGTGTTGGTGTGTGATTTGGTTGGTTGCTTGGTGATTAAAGCAGATCAGACGAGATAGTGAATTTTCTGATGAGTAGTGTTGCAGCAATGGAGGCTCTGGCACCGCCAGAGGCCTTTCAGAGCTGGATGAGTGGAACTGATGAGTGTGTGTGTGTGTGTGTGTGTGTGTATGGTCAGACAGTCTCAGTGTCATCTCCCTGTCTCCTCTCTTATTTATCTATCTGTCATCTCTTTCCCCCCGTTCCTTTTTCGCTTCAGTGAATATTTTTACCCTTGTGAGTCTTCAGCCTATTTTTGTTTATTTCTTGCCCTCTTACTCTACAGTAGCTTTAAGAATTTAGTCATCTATCTCTTAGCGTGCTGCTCTTTCTCCCCTGTCCTCGCCTTCTCCTCCCCCAATGCCCTTGTCCTCCTCTGTATCCCCCTACAAAGGAGCGTTGATTGTGATGGTGGCGGTGGGAGGAAAGTGCACACTGGCTCTTTTTACGAGGAAATGTCAAAGCGTGTAAGCCTGCATGCAAGTGTCAGCTGGAGTGTGTGTCGCTCTCTGGCTCTGGAAGGCCTGGGAGCTGATGTCATGAGAGCGTGTGCGTTTGATGCACTGTTTGGGCAGTCCTGCCGGCCCATGGGCTGGCGCTATGGCTCCAGAGCCTGAGGGATCAGGGGGTTGAAGCGTGGGGGTGGATAGTCTCCTCCATCACCTCACTGTCCGATACAAAAGCAGACACTGTGGACAGAGAAAAAAAAAGGGGAAAAAAAGGACCGCTAGATCTCACAATCTGTGAAGCCGCTGTCTCTGTGGGTGCCTGTTTGATTTTATGCACGGTTCTGACGTCTCTCAGCATGTCTGCGTGTAGAGCAGGCATGAAAACGTGTCTGTTCCCTCATACGAGGCTGCATTGTTGTCAAAAAGCGAAAGCTTGTTTCTCAACCAGAGATAAAGCTCAGTCCTTGATCACTCTTTTCATGCTGATGCTGGTTTAATCTGCCACATGTCACAGGAAAGCACTTAAATATCTTTATTTGAATCAAATTATGCGTGACATGCCGTCTTAGCTGTTCACAAATTATCATGCATATCTTCAGTTCAGCTCAGAGGGAATTTGTGCATGTGTTTGTGTCTGTGTGAGTACTTCAGAAGCTCAGATTCTCTGCTGCTATTTAACAGTCTCACTTGATTCCCACCTTATCCGACACTTGGGAGGTGATGAGTTTTCACAGGTCATATTTTAGTTGCAAATCTTGACTCTGTTTATTTTAAGGAACTGTTTGAAAATCTTTAACGACATAAAAGTGCATCGAGGAAGAAGCAGAGTGTGTTTGTGCATTAGCATATGAGCTGCATTTTGTGTATCAGTCTTTTAGAGAAAAGTGAACTACTTTGAATGTATTACCTCAAAGTGCAGCTTCGGATGAAATAATTGAGCTAAAATAATCAGCAAGATATGAATCCACATGAGCAGAGAATTGTGGAAATTGAAGTATGAATTTGTGAATGATTTGACTGGATAACTGCTTTCCCGCCCACAATGTCTGTTGATGTTCTTGTGGGACTTTAAGCATTACCAGAGAGTATGTCAATTTGTTAGCTCTTATTTTCCTCCCACACCCAGATAAAATGCCGTCATAAAAGCAAGGCCCTGAGCCCTGCACTTGCACAGCTATACCAGTTCATTTGATCGCATGGTTTTGAGGCTGAGAAAAGACACCTCCATTTGTGATTTCAGTTTTTAAAAATAACTTTTCATTATACTGTATGCGTATTGTCATGTGGCTGTTATTCTTTTTGGTCCGATATATCAAAACTGGGTTGTACTCCATCAGACTGTCCTTGTCCATTATTAGGCCAAGGGATATGAATAACAAAGGCTGGTGTTACAAAGTGTGTCAGAAGCACTTAGTTCTTAGGTTCCAAAATGTCTTGTTAGATGTATGCCTTATATCTATAATAATCATCACTTTTTAAGCCCTTACAAGATCGAATCTAGAAGTCACCAGATAATTCAAATGCAGTTTTTTGGGATTGGAAACATGGACGGTTGGGTACAGGGACATGGCAGATGAGTTTTAAGCGATGATGCACCTGGGTATTCTGCGCACCCTCAGTGAAAATGATGTGGCACGTAAATCCCACCGTCTGAACCTAATTAACTAAAAAAGCCCTACTCTGGTCCCAAACAGATTTGATGCTCATTAGACAGCATGAGTTCATTACAGCAGTAGATGATACGGGTGTGTTGCACATTATGCTTAGTGATGGAAACACATGGCTTTAAAGCAAGGACATTTGTAAAAGGGACTGTTTGCTAAAGGACTTTGTTAAATGCCCTTTCCTTTGCCTCATCTCTCCTCATGCTTGTTCTTAAGTTGAGTGGAGGAATCAAGTGTGGGCAGTTTGTAAAATGGGATAATGGGACTGTGTTAGCCTTACAATAGACTGGGCTTTGGCAGGATGTACGCAGCTGTAGCTGCTGCAATCTCATAGACACTAAAGCAGGTTTTCTTATGAGTACTTTATCCTAGTGTTTGTTTGTACTCGTCATCATTTAAACGTTTTTATGTGTCCTATTGACAAATGGATTTGCCAATTGTAACAGATGTCTTTTTAGTTTTTTGCAACATAATGTAACAAACTGTCTCTGTGGCTACACTTTCATTCAAGACCATATCGTGTGGAGATCATTTTTTTTTACTGTCTCTCTGACGGTGATGAGAGAAAAGTGGAGTCAAATCACTTGTCTGTTCAGAAACTCTTGTGATATTCTAGCTAAATGTGGTGGATTCAGAAGCTGTTTTAGATCAGCATGGGATTGTTTTGCTGTCTGTGCTCTGAAGCTTGAGTCTTCTATTACGAGATGGATTGTATTCCCAGAAGGATACAATGAACAACTGTCAAAATTTAAGCACAACTGAAAGCAAAAAAAACAAACATAGTGTGTCATAATCTGTGGATTTTGGGTCATCTTTTCGTTTCTGACAGATAGAAACTGAAATAACTATGACATTTTAATCGATAGATTCCTCAGTTTTATATCTATCTTAGTGAGACCAGTGAGCCCATGATCAAAGTTTATGAGTTTGTTTTTGTCTGGAATGTTTTTTCCCACTGTTTGTGGAGCGGCCATTTCTATTTTCAGCTCAGCAGCCGACCTCACGGCACCTCTGGGGCTGAAAGTGCCAGCGGGGCTTAGAACATGGACCTTAGGCACAAATACTCACAGGCATGCAGGCACATGGAGGCACACTTTATTTTAAAACAACTGTGAAAGTGTGAGAGTGACCGGCACACCAGCCTGTGCCAAACTCATTCTGTGTCGGGTGTAAGGACATTGCTAAATGGGGTCTCTTTGGTTCCTCCTTACTCTAAGGTTACTTTGTCCTTCCATTCTGCACTGCAGATGAACTGAGCTTTGTGCCAACAGTGAGCTTCATTAGTAAAGCAGAAGTCAGAGACTGAGGCCACCTTGCTTGTTGAATGCCCTTTTATTATTCCTCTTTCCTAGACATTCATTATACTCACAGATTGGCACACGTGCACAGTGTATTCTTTATGCGTCCCAGCAAACACACATTCATCTATTCACTGTTGGTAGTTGTCCTATTCTGATAACTGTAACTGGCCCCTGATATTGGTGCCTGCGGGATGCGTTGCCATAGCGATGTGTGTGACCTGGAGTCAAGTAGTCTCTTGTGTCAAGCCGGGAAATCTGACAGCCGAGGTCTGAATGTGATATTAGGAGACCAGAGCACCTCATAAATCTGCAGGAAGCAGACCGTGAAACCCAACGGTGAGAATTTGTCAAGTCCTGGCATGGAATGAAATCTGAAAAGTTTGTGCACTTCTTGCATAAGAGGAAATGTTGACCTTGAAGCTTTGCATTCACATTTCCGCGGGGGTAGTCCAGTGTTCTTGATTACCACTGTCCAGCGTTCTTGATTACCTCCACTTTTTATAATTTCTGTGCAAGCAAATAAAAAAAAAAAGGAGCAAATGCTCATAGATTATGTTTAAAGCCTCCCGTTAATAAGCCAAATCTTTTTGTGTGTTAACTCTGAACTCAATCTAAATGATGCAATGTGGTCAAGACGTTTTGGTCAAAATTGACTTCTATTCTCTCATTTTCTGTCCAGATGTACCATCCAGAAGGAGTGTGCTCGGGGGCTTTTGGCACGCTCTTGGATCAGCCTGGGTGAAGGCCCCCAGCAGTGCCCATCAATCACCCTGACACCCTCAGAGATCAGCATCTCTGCAGACATCAAGGTAGCATTCACTGTCTCCATGCTGCTGTTGCCATTAACTCTTTCTAATAAAACAAACAGACATGACTTCTGATCTACACCAAACTATGATTGCAATGAAGGCAGTGTATTTAAAGCTCATTCCTCACACACTTTCATAACCTGACACCTCTTTCTATTATTGCCTGACCTATTATTATTACTCTGATAAAATCATGGCAGTGACGCTCTACAATCACAAGCTCCTCCTTTGAGAGTATACAGTATGTGCATATTCAGCTTCTCAATTAGCTGTTTTTTTTAGATGATTGTGCTTTTGTTCACTCTTATCACTCTCATAGCATCTTAGTTAAACACAACTCTCAGCTCTGAGTGCCATACAAGTTCTTTAGACTGAACTTTATGACAGACAGGTATGTGAGAAATATTTAGGAGCGAGGTGTCCAACCGCTTAGGAGCGTTTGAGCCATGTGTCTTAGAAGAGCTATTCTCCCTGCGCTGTCTTTAATTAGTTACAGTAATTAAAGCTTTATTTCATATATGAGGCTTCAGGCTTCATTTATATCTGAAGCCTGAAGAATTATGAATATGTGACTGCTGGCACACTGTAATTGATGCACTTATATGCTTAGAAAGGCCTCTGGTTGAAATAAATTACAGGAGATAATGGACTTTAGTTGAAACATTGTTGTGTAGTCCTTTGATGATTCTCACTAGACTTTGCCCATTTCAGTAAAAATAATGTTATTATATTAGTTATATTATATATTACAATGTTGTCATCATTTTTAATAGAAATACTGGCATGAGGTTAAATATGAGGGAGTTCATATTTTCAGGAAAAAATGGTCAAAATTAGATAATTAGGTTAATAGGTGAAAACATTGTGAGAATCTCTTTGATCAAAATTGTGCGGCAATGATGATGCAGCGAAGTTCCTACTTTCCTCGTCACTTATCTCTTCATTATGTGTTGTGAGAAGTTACATTTGGTCCATTCCCACCTGCAACTGTGTTGTGTAGTTTGGATGTAGTAAACTATAAGGTTTTCCTCTGTATAAACTCTAACCTTCAGCTTACATTCCTCCACACTAAAAGTTCTACAATTATTTGAAGGCGAAGCAAGGCAATTTGATTTGCATAACACATTTGGTGTACAAGACAATTCAAAGTGCTTTACATAGAAATTAAAATCAGAAAAACAAAGAAAGAAAATGAATCATCAAAATAAATGAAGTAGATAAAAAGTGCAGGGTGCAGATAAAATACATTCAGTTTCCAATTTGCACAGTTAAAAGAACCGTTTTCAGCCTGCATTTAAAAATTGTCAGAGACCAGGAAGACTGTTCCAGATTTTAGGTGCATGGGACTGAAATGAAGCTTCACCTTGTTTAGTTCTGACTCTGGGCCCTATTAGGAGACCAGAACCTGAGGTTCTCAGAGTCTGAGCAGGTTCATATGGCTCTAACATGTCAGAAAGGTATTTCGGGGCTTGACCATGAGGAAACTTGTACACAAGCACAGCTGTTTTAAAGTCTAATCTCTGCCTGACAGGCAGCCAGTGCAGAGACCTGAGCCCCGGACTGATATGGTCCTATTTCCTAGTTCTGGTCAGAACTTTTGCAGCAGCATTCTGGAAGTTCTGCAACTGTCTTACTGGTCGTTTAGAGAGCCCAGTGAGAAGGCTGTTACAGTCACTATGTTACTATTCCTCTGATTCTGGCAATGTTTTTGAGACGGCTGTTGATGTTATTGATTTAATGTTTCGATTGATTTAATGTTGAAGATATTTTTCCTGAAAGCATCATACCTTTGGGATATCTATCTAATGCTAATGTGTTAGGTGGTCAACCCTATCGCTTCATTGTAAGAAGGTTCCTGGTTCAGGCTCCAGCTGGAGGGCCTCTCCAGTACTTTGGAAATATTTATCTCTTTGTGGCCATGTGATGGACTGGCAGCCTGTCATGGGTCTACAGTGTCTGTTGCCCATTGACAGCTGAAACAGACTTGTTTGTTTGTCTGTTTGTTTGTTTACATGTGCCAAACAGCCTCTGGCCTTTAATAAACTGTGACTTATTGGCTCCGTTTCCTCCACTGACACAAATCTATCAGAGAGACATTAACATATTTCTTCAAAGCAATGTGGCAGTAGCATAGACTGTGGGTTTGAAGTAAACATGAACTATATTGTGCACAGGTTCAGGTTTTGATGGTTGAGGCTGAAGAGAAAACATTTTGGTCACCTACAGGGTTTTGTGTAAAGGAGATGAAAAATGATTTTAGTCTGATTGCTGTGCTTCATAATGCCGCTCTTTTAAAATGAAATCTGTACTACCGTGTGATTTCAATCAGGTTCACTTCATGTTTTGTTTGGATAATTTAAAGTGCACATTTGAGTTTGAGTGTTTAAACTTTTTGGTGTAAAACAAAGTGTTGCTTTTCCTGCAACAGAGGGGGACAACATAAGCAATTAGAAAGTCTTTTAGACTTTGATGAGCATCCTAAATCCTTGCTAGAGTTTCTTTCGCAATCTGCTATCTTTGTCTTAATCTTGCCAGTGTTTGTTTATAGGTGATATTGTGAGTTCATGTGATGCCACCAGTGTGATTTAATCAATCTTGGCACGGTACTAACTCCCGGTTGAAAGATTGCCTGCATGATACTTGAGCGTGTGTGACATGATTGCGTTCAATTCTTTTTCCAGTCAATGCATCGTGTTACACTGCCAAGATTAGATCACTGACCTCTGACACTCAGAATATTTTTGACCTTTAATTACAGATCATAATTTGATGGAAGTCAGAGACGACAGATCGTTAATTGGTTCATTACTCGGGAATATTTGCTTGTTATGAGGATCAGTCCTCAGTCGGCTGTAATTGCTTCACCTTCCCCCCGCCTGAACTACAAGCAGGAAGCTCCACTCAAGGTTGTCTCTCAAAACAGGAAGCAGCAGGCAGGAAGTCAGGGCCTTAGGCAGGAAATGATCAATTCCACCAAACAATAGTGAAGCATTTTAAGACATGTCAGCACATGCCGCTGACCACCTCAGCTCCCACTTGCTGAGACGGAGAGTACGTCACCTTGCTGTTCCTCTTTTCTTAACGGCCCTTGCCTGCTTCCTCCTCCCTCCCCTTCTTATTTTTTCTCACATTGAAATCATTTAGCTGAAATTCAGACATGTCAGGCAGGTGTTATGTTTCTCATTATACGTCTGTCATACTTCATCACGTACCCGGATTTAGATGTGAAAGTAGCACTCTGCCATCTGTTTCTTCATTACACAGGAGTTTCTCCATTTCTCTGCCTGAACTCCTGAGCAGACTTGAAGTATTGCCAACTTCATCCTCCCACTGTTTTGAAATGAGTGTACATAAACCAAATTAGATCACGTGTTTGAGAGAATTCAGAAGATAATTCAAAATGCATCCATTTTGACAAAGATGAGAAGCTTTTTCATGTTTTCTATGTTTCCATGATTTTGTCGTAGGTTGTCGGCATTCTAATAAATGGCAGCGTTCCCGATCTGATTGGCTCCCGAGTGGAGTGCGAGTATGGCCCAGGGCTTTCTACTGTTGCCACACTGCACCTGGACTACGGCCCGGCTCAGATCCAGACCTGTCCCCTGCTCTCTCGGGAACTCTACCAACCAATCCTTCCTGGCAAGGGTGAGACATGCAAACATCCGTTCCAACCTAATAAATTCAGCATGGCACAAAACTGCTTTTCTGTCTAGTTTTCTATGACAGGCATATAATCTCTAAACACCAGAAAATGTTGCTTTTGTGCCTGCAGATCACCTGACTGTTTCTGTGGCAATAAAAGTCAACGGTACATCTGTGGTATCTGGGAGCTTCATCTACTATGACTGTGAAAGGACTGGAGCAATACACCCCAAGATGTCGTAAGTCTCGCGGTTTCTTTTATTGCCACTTAGTAATTAGTTATTGTTGTTTGGCCAACTAAAAGCTTCATTATATTCCTCCGCATCCTGATTCATTTAGTTAAATTTTAGTGGTTGAAAGCTCATTTCCTCAAAGAGTATGTAGTTTTGAGTTCGCATGAGAATGATTACTATAGATGTATACTTTTTCATTCTCTCCATTCTAAAGAGAAATGTTTGTTTGACAGTTACTGATGTATGATGTTTGTATTATTACGATTTTCCTATGAAGACTGTGAAAGAGTGAGCAGCTGGTTTTCCCTAATGTGGCAACTTATCATTGCTCCGATCGCTGGTTTCAAGTTACACGTAATAATGACCTGTAGTATCCGAAACATTTACATTTTCTACATTGGGATAGGCTGCTGATGCTTTTACATACGGAAGTCTTTCATTTTTCACTTTGTTTCCATATTTTTATTCGGTATCAGGATCTTAGTACATTTGCTGTACTTCCACTTTTAGGGTTTTTACTTACTGCATACTATATGTGTAATAGACCCACTAAAACAAACTTCTTAAAGTGAGTCTAAATACAAAAAAACTGAAAGTGTAGAAATAACCGAATTTGACCCATTAAGGCATTTCAAATGTGCCAAAACAGCTGGCTAGTGAATGCAAAATAAAGCTTATTTCCTGCGTTTGCCTCCCTCATGTCCTCATTCTCCTCTCCTCATCACATGCTTTCCTCTGCTTTCTAGGCCTCGGTGGGTAAACACCGCCAACATGTCCTCTTGGACGGCTTATTGAGTGTTTGGCTTACTCAAGAAATCTCAATGCAGGATCAAATGTTGGATTAATATGCTGTAAACGTTAAGCCAAAGGAAATTAGATATGTATGTCTGGCTGATCATGCCCCTGTTTGTTTTTGCGAAGGACTGGGACTTGTATGTACTGGTCATAGAGAGGGTTTTCTCATATCTGGAGGCAGTCCAGCTGACTTTCTCCTGCATGTTGGACCATGTCATGGGATACACTTTATCTGATCGGCAGATCTTAAGCTTAGGGTGCCATCAGCGTGTCTGCCTGTTTGACTGACTCACTGAGATCAAGAAGCATTCTGGTTCTTTCCTTTTGTTCACTTTTTGAAAGCAGTTAGGAGGTGTGAACGCAGCAGTCGCAGATATGTGCATGCAACAAAGCACCCAATATGTGTATATGGCCTCTTTGCACGGCAAGGTCCAGGGGTGTGAAATTAGATAGCAGTTTGTCGAAGGTGATAATTAGCAAAGTGCCATTCTCACAGGATGAGTATTCCAATCCTGCTATACTCCATCTGATCTTCCTCTCTGCATGCTGTGTTTTTTATTCTGAATCCTATGATCCACTTATTCTCAGTGAAGCAAGATATTAGTTTGTTTTCTTCTTAAGATATGAAAGGCTTTTTCATTCACGTTTATCCTCTTATTAGGTGCTGCTGTCGTACATTTGAAGAAATGATCAAAGTCAAATCATTTTTCTTGATCAACTTTTGTATTTCCTTTTCCAAAATGTTTAACAATTATTTTACAACAGACACTGTGCTGCTCATCACATTCAGTAGAGAATGCACCTAGGTTCAGTGCATGAACTGAACCTGTAACAGCTCTTTGAGTCAATAATCACAGCATCAGCAATGTCAGCATATATGGGAGGCAGTTAACAATGTCTCCTCACAGCAGCAGGGTTCAGATGCTGTTTGGGGCCTTCCTGCATTGGCTTTGCATGTTGCTCATGTGCATGCGTGGGTCTGTTGGTACAATACCACACACAATCTGTGAAATGTTACTTTGCATATAAACACAATGGATGCATGATGAGCTTGAATTTTGGCATGGTGGGTGTTTGAATTTGGTGGTTCCACTTGATTACAAATTGTTCTGGTGTCTATAATGTTTCTGATATCATGGCTCATACCAGCAATTAAAGTGTTCAATAATCCGGCTTACTCAGTTTTTCGCCTTGTAATTATTTTCATGTGTGTTATTTGTGCATTCAGCTACTCAACCAAAGTGTATAAATGAGTCATTGTGAGGGTTTTTTTTCAATATTTGGGTCATACTATAAATTTTGATCAAATCAAGTATATGTTCAGTTTGCATTACCTTTAAAATTGTGTGTGCATTATTCACAAGTTTGTTTTGACAGTTCCTCTCAGATACATTCAAAGTGGCCACTTGGTAAAGTGTTAATGGCTACCAGATGAGAGCATTCCAGTCTAACACCTAACCTGCCCGCCTGACCCTCTCTTTTGGTTGTTGTCTCATGAAAAAACTCCTTTGTTTGTATGCTGGAAGAAAAAAACCTGTCAACTCAAGTTTTCTGTCTCTCTCTCTATTTCTCTGTTTCTTTGCACTTTTGCTCCTCTTTCTTTGCCCTTTCTATGTTGCTCCCCCCAAAACTGATCTTTTCTCCTCAACGTATTTCTCTTTGACAGAGACGTGATTGAGGATGTGTGTTTAACCGCTGTGTCCACTAAGAGGCCCTGAGAGTGCGACCCTGACTGTGTATTTAGCGCGTGTGTGTGCGACTGGTCATTATGACTTGAGGTGGGCAGTTTCACAGGGTATTTGCTGTCAGCGTTCAGTCAAGCGAGGAGAGTGTGTGTTTACGCCAGCCGAGTGCAATAAAAATGTGCATGTGTGAATGTGTGTGGGTGGTGAGGTATAGGTGTTGTAGCAGGACAGACTGGGAGTCAGGAAAACAGAAAAGCTGCAGCTGATAAGAGCCTCGAGGGGTCCATCCGTCTGTTTCTAATCAGAACACACACATGTTTCAATTACATGTCTACATCCTCTTGCACCCACCCCTCCCCACCTAATCTGGGGACCTCCTCTGAGTGCTGCTATCACTGGAGGCGCTATCATTCCTCGTGCGGGACATCTGCCTCATCCCAGAGGCACCGCGATGATGCGCACCCCACTCACATACTTACAAAGTTCTGTTCTATTTAGGACGTTTATCTGGAAGACACATTTTCCTCTGTCCACACCCCTGCACCGCCCTGTATCATCTCAGCCACACATCCTACCTCTGTAAAGCCCGTGTCTCTTTAATCTGTACACATGGGCACCAAGCCAGCGAGCGTGAACTGAAAGAAGTTAACAAACTGCAAGTGGGCTTTCATGTTGAAATACCTTCATACGGGCAGTGTAAAACTTTCATAGAAGTATAAACACAAGAGACAGCATGCACATGCATCATCAGTTAGCGATCTGAGCCTTTTGCCAAGAGTTTGATTTGAGCTGATCTCTCCCAGTACGACCTCTCTTCTAGTTGTGCTGTAACTGTGAAGTCAATGTGTCTTCCTTTTATTTATGCTTAACTTTGGTTCCCGTCATCAGCTCAGCCTGTCCATTTGCGTTTTCGTATCGTATTGGACTGATCACAAAGAGATGATGTAGCAGTGAAAACAGGTCAACTTAGGAAACATTCGATTAATGTGTCTCAATTCTTTCCATGTGTCCCTATATCTTTTTCAGATGCACGAGGTGTCTGAGTTCCAGTTGGAAGTGTTACTGGGACCAAGAGAACCACCTGTGTGTTTCCAATAAAGACGATTCAAAGCACAACCTGCTCGAGGTGAGAAATTCTCCCACTGCACCATCACCCAGACAGATGTCTTGCAGAGTTCATAATGTCAGTGTGCTACTAGTCAAAACCTCAGACATAATCCAGACTCTGCTCTCCAAAAAGTGCTCTGTAATGATCTGAGTCGGGTGAGGCAAGAGCAACCCATATAGTGACTCACTTTAGGGATTCAGTCTGAGTGTCTCAACTGCAGCATGGTGAAATTCTGAAACCAACTATAAAATCTCAGGAGGTTCTGGTTTTACAGACTCATAAGAGGGTAATGTGCCATTTTAAAGCTCCTCTGACCTGTTCTGAAATTTCACTTTGATGGAGGAAGAGTTTAGATTCACTGCACTGTTTTATATATTATTTTATTTCTAGTTTAAATGGATGTACAAACTGTTCTGCTGTATAACCAGCCATGCAAAGCCCTGTAAGGCTGAGACGTGCTCTGAGAAGCAGACATATCATTGGCTGTATAAGAGGAAAATGTTTAAAAAACTAGCATTTTCCTAGCCCTAGAATTAGTTGTGTTTCTTTTGGAATTCTATTGTGGAGCCAGATTCTGTGATCTGTGTCACTGGGCATATTATGCCCCTCTGGCTTTGACTGCACTTACAGTATCAGTTTGAGTTACACATGAGAGCATGTGGCTCACAGTTCTCTGATGAGCCGCCCTTTAATGATTTTTTTAACATCATTGCCAGGGCTGTTCAACATTTGGATTTATATCACAAGCCTGGACCTGTTCATTTTTAAAGTATTTTAAAGCTATTAATTACAATTTGTACATGAAAAATGTAAAGATTTTTGCAGTGTAGGTCGTAAGGACATTATCATTTGGTTATTCCATCTCTGCTGAACCTATCTCAGTGTCCGGTGGGTCTGTTTTTCTAATACCTGTCTCTCTATTTGAAGCTATTGTTTCCCTCTGAGTCAGACTTCACCCTCTCATTTCCTCCTCGGTCAGATAAACAGGACAGGTATTTTGGGTTGCGGATGTGTCTGAGGCTTCCATTGTTTTCTGTAACTCTTCCTGCCCCAAACTCTCCTCCCTTTATCACAGAATGCAACTTCCTGTCCCAGCCTGGTCCCTTTAGAGGTTCCGCCATCACCGTCAGGAATGGCCCAAGACTTCACCCTATTGCTGAGCAACATCCAGGAGGTATGACAGACTGCCTCCAGCTATGGAGCTGGATTTGGACTTCCTCCAAAATGCATGTTGTGAAAATGATTGGAATAAAACAGAAGCATATGGTGTGTTTGCTTCAAGCTGAGCAAAAAACAGATGGATATTTGTGTGCTGTGATTTGGGTCAATGAATGAGTAAAACCTGAGTTTGGGTGTTCTCCATGTTGACAGACATGAATGATGATGATGATGAAGAATGAGTGGATATCTTTATGAATAATACTCTCCCTGTTCAGCTCTCTGAGCACGCCTGCCCTTTGCTTTCTATCCGGGACTAGCTGAGTTGCTTCAGCACAGTGCTCATTGTACAACAGTGTGAGGCAGCATGTGGGGCAGGAGCTTTATTTTGTCCATTTTTTAATTCGGCCAAGTTTCCCAGATCAGTTTCCAAAGTCCTATTCTCATAGTTAATTCATGAGCCAGCCAGAAGCTGATCCTGCTCCACTGATAAAGACGCAACTGGGATCTACTAAAAATTCCAGTGCGGACTAGTTGCCAGGCGTGGTCAGTCACACGCCTAACCCTGGCTGCCCTCTCAAGCCGTCATCTGGTGTGTTGCTATGGTGACAGACATTGAGTCACACACACATGCATACACACACACACTTAGCCTGGATGTGATCTGCCATTTATTATACTTCTTAGTAAGAAAGTTTATGCATTCTGACGTTGTTTGAATAATGTGTTCATGTCATCTACAAGTCTGCGAAGCAGGAAATGAGATGTCAATCAAATTCAGTACCCTCTAAGAAACACCACACTCATAATGATCCTTCTAAAATTTCTTGTGAGAGTTTTCCCACACTCATTCTAAAGATGCAGAGAAAAATCTTTATAATCTGTGATGGAACAGGTTAATAAGAAACAACTAATGACAAGAATACACTTGCATAAATGAACAACTTGAAGTTGGTGGGCCTTTATGTATTAGGTCACACTTAACACAGGCCAGGGAAACCTTCAACTTACTACAGGAAACAAGAAGCTGTCAGTGGCCTGAAAAATAACTCTCTGGCATCAGAGAAATAGCAGAATCTTGGAGAGGCCCAACAAAAAGAGAACGATTTAGCTGGCTGGATGCACAGACAAATGAATGCTTCCTCTTAAAGTACTTCTCCTATTGTTGCTGTTACCTATCTCAGCGTCTTTACGGTTTCAGCGTCACATAGCCTGGCTCAGTGAAATTCACAGTGCTCATTTTGTGAAGAATAAATTCACACTCATTATTCTCACTCCCATATGAATAGCAGAGGTGTGGGACTCCAGATGTTTATGAATATGAATTTTGAACATCTTTTCCTGGCAGGCACAATTATTGTGTTTTTTTTTAGCTACCTGGGGGTAGCTTTTTTTTTAGAGCTGATGAGTGTCACTAGACATGCTTGATTGAGCTTTTTTTGCAGAAATGTACTGAATTTTATCAATTTTTTGTATTGAGGCAGCGATTATCTCATAATGGGAATGGCAGAGTATCACATTTTTTTGGCTGTTGTGTAAAGACTTTGATTTGCTTAAAATAAGTGTTTTATATAACAGGGAAAGAAATTGGAGTGTGACTTTGGAACAGAGCAACGATATGAGGCAGTCTGGCTGAACAACACGACTGTCAAGTGCAGTGGGGTGACAGTAAGTATAGATGATGACCCACCAGAAATAACTAGTGAAGTCAATTTGTTACATTCACAGTAAAGTTACTGCTTCGCTTTTCACACTAATGTTACATTCACACCTTATTTCTAAGTTGTTTTTGATGCAATTACTTCAAACTCCTATTTATCAGCTGTCTAAGAACCAATTATTATCTAAAGTATCAGTATGTGATGGCGGAATTATATGTTATTCAGGTGTAGAGATGCCCAGCGTAACCTGTTTTTCTAAAACCACCTACTTCTCTGTTTATTTAGCTGTTCACTAACCAGAAGAGTCAAGTTTACCACCTCAGTCTGAGAAGAAAAGAACGCTTTAGCAGAGAGAGGGAGGATATGTTCATTGACAGCCCTCAGCCTGTAAGAGGTAAGATGTAAAACCCATGATTAACGAGGCCTGCAAAAAACATTAAAAATGCAGCCCACTGCCGCGCTTCAATATGTCTCTAAGCACTAACAGATAGTTGAGGTGCGATTAAATCACCACCAAAGCAAGAGAAAAAAAATAAACCTGACACTTTGCTCCAAAAATGCATCTCACCGGCGTGCAGATGTTTTTTCTGATGAGATGGTAGATTTGATTGAACCTGTAGATAAATAGAAGAGTCCTTTACAGGAATAGACAATGTGCAACTGTCTTTCACTTGTAATCATACAGTTTATGTATTACAACACATAATTAGCCAACAACCAGTAATTTACCATAATGTTATATTCTAGTGATGCCTAATTACACATAATAATTATAGACCATAAGCAGCTGCAATTTAAAGTGTTTTCGCTGCCTCTTACAAGCAATGTCCAATTCTATTGTTGCGAATACAATTTGAAGCTCCATGACAACAGTGGGATGATGGGAAGTGGCGTGCGTTGTTGAACTTGGCAGCTTCAAGCCAAGTCTTTGGCTGTCCCAGTCCCAGATGTGCTATTCACAGACCATATGTGTGCCATGTGAACAACAGCCCTGAGCCACTGCCAACCACTGTTTAACAGACAGGACGGCTGCTTCCCAACATGCAAAGTCATCAAATTTTAAAATGACACATACTTTATCACATGCATAAAGGCGCGCACACAAACATGCACACGGTCGCCTGCACAGATGCACATGCAGTAACACAAACGGGACCTCTCCCTGGGAGGCGCTTCGGAACACAGACGTAATCATTTGTTTTCCCTGGCTTTGTTCTCGTCCACTCCAACACGTCCTTTTTTTCCCTGGTTTATTTTTATAGCCATGAATATATCATCGTCCAAATGCTTATGCTGTTTATTTAGAGCATGCAGCCCATATGGTTCATGCAAGTCATAGAAAAAAAATTCAAGTAGCTTACAACAAGTAGATCAGGCGAGAAATGAATGATTCAGATGGGAGAAATATTCAGATTATTCACTTAAGTACCAACAAACCAATGCACACATACACACATTCCTTATAAGTGACATATTACATATATTACACATACAAGTCATGTTTGAATAAGTGGAAGAGCCTAATTATTCCCAGCCCTTTCTAATTCAAGTTTGAAAATAAAATAAACCCTTCTGGCTGATATGTTCAGATAAATTACATCATTAGACCATAAACAGATTTTGTTAAGACATTTTAAAAAAAGATTAAGTTTAAACATTCAAATTGAGACGGTTGGCAGAGCGCTGTCTGCATTCAAGTATTTTTAGAGGCAGATATGAGTGAATCATGAGAATGAAAAAAGTTAGAAACGCTTTTTTTCCATTTCTTGTTCTCCAGGAAATTATACAGTATATGGGTCGGGAAAGATTGTAGGGATTAAAAAAGAATACTTAGTTTCACAGCTAAACATCAACTTTCTTCTCAAATTTAATCGCTTGAAGGATTTCTGCAGACATTTTTCTTTTGCTTTGTTTGGGGGGAAAAAAGGAAAAATCCACAGAATAAAATCCGCATTACGTTATTTCAACACTTTTCCTTGAGACTAGGCAGAGCATATAACTGAGTATATGAAATAGACTTCAGGACATGTACTGAACTAATCCACCATTTAAAGATATTTGAAAAACCTACTTTATGAAATTTTCAAACTGAAAGTAATAATATATCTGTCAAATATTTGTGGGGTAGAAATATATTTATAGTTTTAATATACATTCATTTTCTCTCCTGCTCTTGCTTTTTTCCTTCTAATCACCTTTGTTTGGATCCCCTGCCACCAATTGTCTTTCAGTGGAGGTGTACAACTGTGGCGTGGGTAGTTGGGACTGCTCTCAGTGCTGGGGCCGCGAGGCTCAGCAGCACCTCTGTGGCTGGTGTGAAAATGGCTGCAGGCCGAGGGGTGAATGTCAGTCAATCGGAGACTCGTGTCCCGCTCCTGAGATCCACAAGGTAAGAGGGCTCGGCTCTTTAACTGCTTAAAGTCAACCATCTGAACCTTCACCTCTCCTTTGTAGTGAGGAGAGGTGGAATGGTGAGTCGTGAATTCGCTGGCCTGGTGTGGCATCCGTCCCGTGTCAGCTGCTGAGAATTGTTTGAATTTGGTCTTATTAAAGCATTTCACTCAGTAATAACACTAACACTCACTAAGCCACAGCCCTCGTGGGACACAGCTGAGTGGATCTGCAATCACTCAGGAGGGCATGGGAACACCTCCTGCCCTGCCTAACAGCAGTGTGTGTGTGTGTGTGTGTGTGTGTGTGTGTGTGTGTGTGTGTGTG